TAAGGATGGTTTCTAATAGGTAATTTATCTGATCCAAATGACATCAACTGCTATAGCTAAACTAGAAAAATTCACTTAAAAGATAGTTTTTTATCTCATAGGTCTAGTGCTTTGGTATTTCTTAGTTGATCTATCTTTCCATGTCATCTCCTATTCCCATACTTCTCCACATGGTCTGTGTTTCTCACTTGTAGTAATTAAGTAGTATTCCAAGTGTTATACACTATCTTATGCATTCTAGCACAAGTTTTTTAATGATATGCATCCCAGATCCAGCAGAAGCTGTAAAACATTACCTAGTTCCAATGTCACTTTTTCTAAATTCTATTAGTTTCACAAGTTTCTAAGATCAATTTATATTCAAACATAGGAGGAAAAAAATCCAACTCCCAATGAAAGAATAGTTTGCATTTACAAGGGTATAATTCATTATAATCATGAAATACATAAACCAACACAAAACCTAATAAAACTTAATATACATTTATATATATATATATATATATATATATATATATATATATATATATACAAAAAAATATGAATAGTCAAAGCCTTACTGTTTAATATGATACAAGCATGTATTTAAATAGTTAATTTGCAAAAACTATATCAAAATAATTTGTTTGAAATAATTCAATCCTTTATATATAAATCTCTAATATGCGGAAACAGTTCCCTAGAAAATTTTGAACAATCATAGTATGAAAAGATATCCTTTAGAAATTGATTGCCTTAGGAAAATTTAACCCTCATTTACCTTCAGAAGTTGAGAGGTAACTCTATTAAGTACAGATCCAACCTCTCCAAACTCGAACTAGCATAAAGTTCTATAAAGATTCTGGCAATAAAAGCAAAGGCCAATTCACTTAAGATATCTGATTCTCAAGTGGACTAGGTTAAGAATAAAGTTCAGAAGCAACTTTTCTTACAAATGCAAAGAATTAATGGCCAATGATTTCTTATTTTCAAAGCCTGATCTTTTGGGAAGAGAACAGGACCCTGAACAAGTACTAATGGGTCTGTGCCCTCAAGGCAAGATTGGCCTTTCAGTGGTTTGTAGTTTCTTGTGTAAGATTCCCTGAGCCTTTTAAAAATGAATGCATTCTCTGAATCTAAGAATTTTCTCAAAAATGTGGAATTGCTTTACTAAACACTATAAAACTTGCTGTCAAGGGGTAAGACTACACATTATTAGACTCATCCACCTACAGTAAAAAAAAAAAAAAATAAGAAAAACAACAACAACAATGACAAGAAAAAAAGCAGTTATTGTTCCTGCTCTAATGTCAGAGCCTTATTACGGAAGGGAAAGTCCTGGTTGGGTTTCTAGGGGTTTGGCATTGAAACCTCCACCATAAATCTTGAGTTCACTCTCTTAAAATTCATGCAAAAGAGATCTGGAGATGATACAAATATTACTAAAGAAAAAAGGACTTGAAATCAGTGACATTCTGTGATATTACTAATGAAAATAATAATTTAAGACTTCTAAAGTAATCTACTATTTTTGTTTTCAATTTACTGACCACACTGTTGCCTTACTTGAGAAGTATAATGTACACTCAAAAGGTTCATTGTTCCATTGTGATCATTCTGAGTTAGGAACCAAGGACTCAATTGTTTTCCTTTCTGGGGTTTTATTCTCCTGTTCTTTTTCTTCCTCTAATATAATCAGACAATGATTTTTATTTATTTTTTAAGTATTGGTAGCAACAATAGTGCTGCCATTTATGAAGACCTGGTATAAAGTCTGTGATATGCTAAATGATTTGCATACATATATTACCTTTATAATATTTTTTAAATAAGAAGTATGGTTTAAAAAGAGAGAGAAAGAACCAAAAGGTAATATTTTAAGCATTTATCAAGAATGGAGAAATAAGGGAAGCCGCTTATAATAAGGATTCTACAGGGAGCAAGTAGCTGAAAGATTTTATACAGCTAACTGGGGAAGGTCACTCAAAGTTTAGTTTCATTCTGAGAGTTGTTCACTGTTCAAATACTCAGAAAGTAGTGGGGGATTCATTATATTAATTGAGGGACAGAATATAGAAACAGAAAATATAAGACCTCAGTTTAAGAGGAGTTGACTTCCTAATTTGCATTTACCAATAAGTGGGTGGGAAAGAAGCTAAGGTTCTTGAGGGATGAATGAGATTTGGTGCTTTGATTTTCCATAATGACTGCAGTAATCTCTTGAGTTTGTGGCTGTATAAGAAGCACTTATGATTCTGGGCATATTAACAGCAGTACAGTGATGCCGATGAGCTCATGAAGTAGCACCATTAATATACCCTGAAATATTTTCATACACTCTTACTGTTTCTAGTTTTAACTTGAAAAACAAATCCTTTGGATGAAGACAATTTTTGTCTATCACCTTACATGTTCCATCTTTTTAAAATTTTGTAAGGGTTATAAATTTGGCTGATGGTGTTCTACGAATTTAGAGGATGCTCTGGATCAAAGCACTTACTATTCACATGGGTGCAGATGTCCAATGTATAACTAAAAGCAGGATAAAAGCTTAGTTTCTTCCCTTCATTGTGATCTGTTTCTTTCTCACTTGAGCCTTGGGTAAAGCTGGTGATCCTCTCCTTTCAAGGTTGAAAAAGGCACCAAAATAAAAATAACTAAGATATTTTCAAGATCTTCAGGGACATCATAATCAATCGATTGTAAGTTTTCAGTTTTTAAAAAATTCTATTTTAGACTACAGAGCAGTGCTTAAAAGCCTTCAGTCATTGTCCTAACCTGAACAATCTCACACCATCTTGCTTTTCTCTGAGTCATTCTCTCCTGCAATTGTCTGCGAGTACATGAACTACAGGTCTGAGATATATATATACTCAATTACTCAATATATATATATATATATATATATATATATATATATATATATATATATTGTGATGAGTTGAAACTACCACCCAGGGAACAGAAACTTCTCACTACTGCTAACAAGGCTCACCATGGCCAATCCTGGGATAATGATCATCTAGATCATACTGTGACAAAGATGGCTTGACTATGCGTACTTCCGTCCCCCTTCCCCATATAATCTAGGAGCTCATGTTAATACCACCAAAGATAGGATTGAGGACACAGGCCCTTTGACTTCCTGACATAGCTGTATTGACTATTTTTTTTTCTGACTTATAATTTTTTGGGGGGTAGGGTGGGTACTGAGGATTGAGCTCAGGGGCACTTGACCACTAAGCCACATCCCCAGCCCTATTTTGTATTTTATTTAGAGACAGGGTCTCACTGAGTTGTTCCTTTTGATATTAGGGGTGAGTAGCCCAAAACTGGTTTTTTAGGATTCCTGAAATCAGGACTTCTTGACTACATCTTTGGTAACAAACATTATTGACTAATATTTAGGACTTTTGATGTAACAATGTGAAAAATTGTCACTTATTGTTCCTAAATGAAATATTATTATCTATAAATAAAGATTAATTTGTAGGCAGTTATTGTACCTGTTTGTATTGTTATGCAAGGTCATATACTTGAACTTGAATATCTCTTGTAACCTGAGAGTTTTATAATCATTGAAACATGTATTCATAATTAATATATCTTATTTATCATTTTTAAAAAATGACAACATTTTTTTTCATAGTCTGTTCTTTTGGTTTGTTTTGTTTTTGTTTGCTTTTAAATTTAGTGAAAATAGAATTATACACAACAGGAGTTTCTTAAAACTTGAAGAATGACAAATTAATTATTTTTATTATCCTTCCTTTTAAAAGATAAAGAAGCAAATCTTGCTATAGGGTGAGTATGTTAGCAAACCCAAAGAGACCATCAAACATAAAAGGGCTCTTAACAAATACTTCTTAATTGAGCTTATATGTAGGAAAAGTAAAATTAAAAAAGCATTGTGTAGGACAAACAGTGATCAGGAAATCAGAACCTTTGAACTCACATTATTGGGAACTTCTTTTTTTTTAAGAATATTTAAAGAATATTAAGAATAAAATCATGGCATTTGCAGGGAAGTGGATGGAGTTAGAGAAAATAATGCTAAGTGAAGTTAGCCAACCCCCAAAAAAACAAATGCTGAAGAATGTTTTCTTTGACATAAGGAGGCTGATTCATAGTGGGATAGGGAGCAGGAGCATGGGAGGAATAGATGAACTCTAGATAGGGCAGAGGGGTTGGAGGGGAAGGGAGAGGGCATGGGGTTATTAATGATGGTGAAATGTGATGATCATTACTATCCAAAGTACATGTATGAAGACACAAATTAGTGTGAATATATTATGTATACAACCAGAGATATGAAAAATTGTGCTCTCTGTATAATAAGAATTGTAATGCGTTCTGCTGTCACATATAAATAAAAAAATTACATTAAAAAAGTATAATTTTGTTTTCTTTTTAATTATAATATTACATGGAAACAAATATGAATTATACTTTTTAATATTATCTAGTAATATTTTATAGTAAAAATTAGAAAAAAAAACTTGTTAGTAAATATATTCATATTGAATACAATTAGTTAAATATCAGTATTTTATTATTTTAATGTATATTATTCGTAAATCATAATTATAGCTTTAATAGATACAGCACTCTATCAACAAATTTTTTAAAAAATTATGTTAATTTTTATATAAATGAACTTCAATTAGTTTCTTAAGAAATAGACAAACCATATCCATTATTTTATGCATTCATACATTTTTTATGTTATAGTAAGAGCCATCTAAAATACTTTTAACTAATTACATCTTTATCTGAAGTAATCAATTTGATTTTTTTCCATGAGAGACAGTTATAAAAACTAGAAGATAGGAAATAAACTCCATAATACTTATCAATTTTTATCAATGTATACTAATTATGCATATTAGTGATATTCATTATGATATATGCATACATGCACATAACATTATTTGGTCAATTTCATTACTCAATACCACACTTGTCCTCCCCTCTGGAGTTTCTCTTCCATTTTGATGAGATCTTTTTTCTTCTTTTCTCTAAAAAATGTAGACAACATCATGAATTTGCATGTCTTCCCCATGCAGGAGTGATGTTAATCTTTTCTGTATGATATCAATTTTAGCTTATGTTTTGCTGAAATGAGCATTAACCTCAATTCTTTGTTTGTGAGCATATATTGCATAACAGCTTTACAAATTTTAAAGTGACAAAAAAGATACACAAACATGGAATCATCACAATGCATTCACACATAGTATAACATACAGGAAAAGGCAAGTAACAAAGTTGAGTTGCTAAAATTTATAACTTGTTACAACTTTTTTCTTACTTTGAAAATATTTTGTTACAAAAAAAAATTTAATGAATTTAATATTATTCTAATGTCTTAAAATCTAGAAATTACAATTTGTATTGACAGATTAAGCCTTTGTTATTTGTAATATTTAAATTATATATTCCATTTTTAAATACCATATATTATTATAAGTTAAACAGAACCTTTTTTTTTCTATTTGAAGTCTTACTTGTGGAAGCAATGAAAATTTATTTTATTTTAAAAATCAACATAGGAATATTTTTTTAAAGTTGAATCAAGAGTGAGTCTTTATACCATGTTTAGAAGTACTCTTCTTATTTAGAATCATACTTCTTTTTCTCACCTTGTAACTACTGAATACAACTATTTCTCATTTGTACCTTCCGCTGATGGTTTTGTTTTTATAAATCAACCAGTGCCTTGAACTTCCACAATAAAAGTTACAAATGTTTTAATTCTTTTAAACACTCCGAATTTTACTTTAAATATATTTATGCTTAGATTGCATCACTAATAACAAACAACTTGTTCAATTACTATTAAGTATACCAAGAGGAAGGAAAAAAAAAAAAGAACAGAAACATATGTGCATATAAATACATGCACAGAGGAAGGAAAATTAGAGGAAGAAAGCATTAGAAAATATTAAATTGTCTATTAAATTGACATTGTAGAAGCTAATTACTTTTCCTCTGCAAGAAAAAGAGAATGATTAGTTACAGAATGCCTATTTTAAAAGCTTCACACACACATACAGTGAGAGAGAGAGAGAGAGAGAGAGAGAGAGAGAGAGACTCACTCCTCACAAAGAAGAAAGTTATTACAGCTTATTTAAATTAAAAAAATCTCTTCTCTGAGTAATCCGTCTTTTACATGGATCTGCCTATGCACTTTTCTCATGAGGGCTTCTACCATTTTGGTCCGAAGGCACATTTCAAATGAACAAATTTGTTTGCCAAAAGTTCCTCAAAATTGCCACTTTAATTGTAAACATTTCTAGTGAGATGTCTCAAAGTATTCAAACGATTGGAGGAATGAACAATTATGGAAATAGGGCAACAGTTTTCTCTGGGCTTTTTAGCTGGTACCTGCATATTGCTAAAGTGGCAGGAAATGAAAAGTACAGGTGAGCGCCCCCTATAAAATGAGATGAATGAATGCAAGCACTCTTGCCTCAGGCTAAAGGACCTGGAAGTGGAAAAACAGAGGATTTTCACCAAAGATAATGATGACAATGGTGGCCTTATAAAGGCTTTTGCAGCACTACAGTACAAAAGGGCAGAATGCTAAAGAAGGGAAAATTCACTCAATTTTTTTTTCTATTCAGAGACCTCATTACTAAATAAGAGTGGAGGACACCAAAATACTGTTTTTGAGGGCAAAGATATTGTCTTTCTGGTTAAGAATTGAGTGGCTCTGCTAATTTTGGTATTCTCAGATCATTAAAATATATATTTTCTAGTGATTCCACAAAGGAAAGCAAATTAAGTCTCCAATTTTAACATAGGTACTTGAAGAGTGGACAAGATTGACTGAATTAGTCTTGCAGTAAAATGATACTATTTGTGTGAAATTTTGAGGACCACACTTATTAGGATGAAATGCTTATTGAAGCATTTCAAAAATTCTTGGAAGACTATTTTTTACCTCTCATTGAAAAGGGTTTTTGTAAGACAAAAACAAAAACAAAAAACAAAACAAAACATGGGCTCTTATAATGAAATAATAAAGCATCATATATCATGTTTCCTTGGTAACTACATTTTAGAACAGGACAATATCTTCTGTAATAGAACTAATCATTCTGTAGAAAGCCAGAGAAGAATAAACAGGAAAGAAAAATAAATAAATAAATGTTGGGGGGTTTGTTTGCTAGTGTTAGAATTTTCTGCCATTTCCAAATCAAGTCTTAAAATTTGCAAATAGACCTATTTATTAGATATATTACTGAAATGTGAATAATTGAACAAAATAGTCTTTATACCCTCAGTTATAAAACATAGGGTTCTCTCTGTCCCTAGTTATATTTCCCAATATTATTTCCCTTTAGAGTTTCTTTAGATTGAAAGTTTTTTTTTTTCCTTGCTATATGCATAACTTTTATCTGGTATAGAATACACCTTAATAAGAAGGAAGCCACCTTGGGGCTGAGGTTGTGTCTCAGCAGTAGAGCCCTCGCCTAGCATTTGCAAGACCCTGGGTTCGATCCTCAGCACCACATAAAAATAAATAAAGCTATTGTGTCCAATTACAACTAAAAAATAAAATGAATATTTTAAAAAGCAGGAAGCCACCTTAATAAGAAGGAAGCCGAACCTGACACAGAAAATTTAGAATAAAAGACTTTTTGATAAAAACATTTAAGCTATACTTTTTATAAAAATATTTAAGCTATACAAAAAGTAAAGGCGTAAATATTACTTCATTTTTAACTTCATCGATTCTTCATTAATGCTTATGTTAGTAGAAGTCTTAAAATATTTAAAGAAAAAAAGACAAAAAGAAGATCTAAGGATCAAAATGAAATATCACATTATTTGAAGAATACATAAGCTTATACATAATAATAGAACAAAATTAAGGACACATAATGCCACTGATAGGTAGCAAACAGTTATGCGTCATAGAATCATGATGTTAAGGTGATAATTCTATAAATTCAGACTACTGTGCTGACCTCCGCATGTGAACCTAAAGGACTCCTCAATTCCAGTAAAAAGAATACAAGTTACCCTGAACAGTGAGATTTTTGTGATCCTTCCACAGACCAGATTCCAAAACTTGGAGAGATAGGATAATTACAATGGGTCAGCATGGGCAAAAGTGACCCAGAGTTGCCTTGGATCTCTGCCATGCACAGTGGCGGCAAGGAAGTTTGATGTAATTCTGCCATCAGTCAAGTCAAAATGTGACTGGTGCAATGGCACACACCTGTAATCCCAGCATCTGGTCAGGTTGAGACAGGAGGATCAGGAGTTCACAGCCAGCCTCAGCAGAAGCAAGATGCAAAGCAATGTCAGTGAGACACTGTCTCTAAACAAAAGATAAAATAAGGCTGGGAACCTGGCTCAGTGGTCAAGTGCCCCTGAGTTCAATTCCTAGTACAAAAAAAAAAAAAAAAAAAAAAAAAATTAAAAAAAGTCAAGATGTGGACCTGGGTGTGACTTTCTGGAAACTTCCCTGGAACCCCACCAATAAAACTGGACAAGAGAAAAGGCCCACTGTACTCTTCTGTCTGTGAAAACCCACATTTTTTTTTCTTGAGAGTGTTCCCCTTTCCCTTCTACTATCCCTTGTAATGAACTCATGCCTGCTACTCTTAGCCACACACCTGAAATCTTACTAGTATGATTACTAGAACTGTTAATGAAGGACAGCTGCTGCTTTGGCTCCACAGTACTCACTTCCTCTGCAACACAGCTTGAAAGGAAAGGAGGAACCAAGAGATGGGCAAGTGAGAAATGAAAGACGGAGACCAGCCAGAGATACACAAAGCTGACAAATAAAGGCAAGTCTCTCTATAGATGGAGGGAGGCAAAACAGGCTTGGGGTTCTGGATTTTATGGGGCAGGCTCAGGGATTAGAGCCTGGCAGGTACTCATGCAGGCAGTTAAGGATGAGGTTGGTATGAGGGAGTGGTGAACCTTTCTCAGAAACGCCCTTGGGTGGGAAAGCAAATTTTTTCTTAAAATGGTGGCTGTCACTTAAGATGGCCATCCAGACACTAAGCAAGGACCTGACAGAGCTAACAACAGAGTTTAACAAAGTTATGATATGCAAAATTTCATAAAACAAATTTACTGAAAATTTCTCATCACTACAAAAAAATTATCAGCTGTGTTATTATTTGGGAAAAAAAGAAATTTACACAACACAATTATTTCAATGATTACACTGTTGTCTATTTTTTTCTTCACCTTTGCAGCACATTGCTTTATAGGGATGTCTAAATATGTTCTGCCTCCCCATTCCATGTTAAAAAAACTACTCAGATTTTCATAGGCAACAGTCTACCTTTTTTTTTTTTTCTGTTAAAGCCTCTATCTCATCTTCCCTCTCCTCTCCTTTGTATGTTTTTCTGTTCTCTACCTAACTCACTAATTGGGTAATCTCACCGAGTGTTGACATTAAGTGACACTGTGTTAACTCACGTATATAATTTTAGATTTCAACCTTCTAAATTCCATACTCATTTAAATAAGAAAGGATTTTAGATCAGTGATTGATGAGGAGATGATTCCATTGGTGAGAATCAGTTTCCAAGTTCTGTTCCCTACCCAGGTGTTGAAGATTGAAGATGGGAGAAACACTAAGGCAAGAACAAAACATTTTATTTAAAGGACAGAATGGAGAGAGGGACAGAGATTCCTCTGCAGAACAGTGGTTCCAAGTTGGTGCCAAAGGGAGTGCCCTTTATATAGATTTTAGATTTCTTTTGTTCTCATGCACCCTCCACCTGTTTTTGTGTCTATGTAACCAGTGACCAAATGGGGTGATCCAAGGCCAAGAATGAAGCTGTTTTATGTGTGGGGAGTGCACAGTCCTGAAGGAAGCAGCCCAGGAGGTATTAAAACTGCTTGCAGGGAGGAACAATCCCCTGAAGGCTGGTTACCTTGGCAACAGGTTGGAGGAGGGAGAAGTTCTATGGACCTATTAGAATTTTAGCTCCTTTTGAATCAGTCCCCATCTTCCTGGCCCAATCATTCATTATTACATTGACTGTCCTTAATGTCTCTCCTTGGTGACTTGTTTAATAATGTATGTGGTTATCAAATAAAAGAGAATAATATCTTTGGGATACAAGATAATGAGTTTGAATTGGCCCAG